GAATGATAAACAGTTATACAATGTTATACAGTGTAGTTTAATGTATAGGCATTTATAGACTAAACATGACGAAACGGTGTATTTTCTGAAAGAGTTTAATAGTGCAGCCTGATGATTGACCAGTACCATTCCATTCTCAGCTCGCTTACTGGCTCAAGGCTTTGGGGCAGCTGACGGCTCCAAACAGACATTGAACCCCTGGAACTGGAACAGAAATCAGGAATCCATAGGAATAATTGAAAATTATCAGTGAGTAGAAACTCCGAGGTTTGGACTTGAACATGAACGCAGTATGTTTGTTTATGTTTGTGTATGTTTGTGTATGTGTATTTAAAGGCGCTACAGTATATATATATACATAATTATTTATATATATATATCATACATCTATTATACACACATATGATGTATACACATGATGTGCACGTATGTTTCGGGGTCAATTTTTTAAACACCCTGTGCTGGATTTTTTCTTGTCTAGCCGAGTCATAGGCTGTGCTATCCCGCAATATCGCTTTAAAATTGATTTGGTCATATATAAAAATGATTATATATATAATATATGATATTATTTATATATATTTATATGTATGTATGTATGTATGTATATATATATATGTATATCTATATATATATTAGTTAATGTATATCTATATATGTATATCTATATATGTATATATATATATCTATTTATTTGTATTTCTATTTGATATATATACATTTACCCCATGATATACCCCAATGTTTGTTGGTTACATGTTCACTTTTACATTTGCACTGATTCATGTTGCCGTGAAACACGTTTTTATCGTTGAATCCAGCGAAGCAACAACAGCCACCGGTTGTTTGGGGTACCCTCTTCAGACAAACCTTTAAGGTCCTTGAAATATTGGTGATCATCCTAGTACATGAGTTACATGACTTGGTCATCCAAAAAAACATCCGAAAATGTGTTGATATTTTGACACTGCTCATGAAAAACGACTTGTCGATGACAGTACCGCAAGCCAAAATTCAACGTTGGCCAGGATTCAAATGATTATTAATTCTTAATGTCAACAAACATAATAAAGATTCCCTTGCCATATATTGGGACCAGCTCAAAATGTGTTAATCCAATTTTATTGTTGAATTTATATAGCCCATTTGCCACTTGCATCATATCCAAAACTTGCCCACAATACTGAAATGATATTTGAAGGTTTTGCATGCAAAAAAACAATACCCTCTGATAATAAAACCTGGCAATGGAAACTTATAGGGGATGTCCCATTGAGCCACGATTTTTCCGGAAGGTAAATGTCATATCAACATCCAAATTTAGCGAGTCTCGCTATCGTGTTCCGCGATGCTGCGCCATGCTCCGGCTCTGTCAACTGGGGGCTGTCGCGGCGCGACGTCAAAGAGGAGCTTGACAAAGCAGTGCCTGGGGATTTGTAACGGGGGATGGGGGTAAGAAAGCAGCAGCATATGTTGATATTATTTATGCATCATCAAGATTTGGGGTCAAACTGTCAAGAAATGGTTTAACTATTCAGCCAAAAAAAACTGGTTCGGGGAGAACATATCTATTGAAAGGCCACACTTGGAGTTTAATGTTGGATGCCCTCCAAACATTTATGTATGGTATACTGGTGATTATACTGGTATACTCTTTAAGGAGTCAATTTGGAGGGACCATGTCTGGGGGACGCAGGATGATCAACTCAAGTAAAGATTTCAATTGGTGCCAATCTACTTTCAATTGATGTTCCTAGGTTAAAAAACTGAGGATTAATTACGAAGAAGTTCAACTCAGTTCCATCCACTTTCAATTTGTTTGCCTTTATAACTTATAACCTAAATGAAATCTGAGGACAAGTATATAAGGAATTCAATTCATATCCATCTACGTTCAATTCATGTTCCTTTATAAGCTAAAAGAAATCTAAGGATAAGGAAGCAGTTCAATTTATATCCATCTACTTAAAAACATGTGTTCTTTTCACTCTAAAAGAAATCTAAGGATAACTAAGAAGTTCAATTCAAATCAATCTACCTTCAATTCCTTTTTTTACCCCAAAAGAAATCTAAGGACAAGTAAGGGATTCAATTCACATCAATATGCTTTCAATATATTTTCCTTTGTTACCTAAAAGACATCTGAGGAGAAGTAAGTATTTCAATTTATATCAACCTACTTTCACTTCATGTGCCTTTATAACCTAAATGAAATCTCAGGATAAGTAAGGAGCTCAAGTCATATCAATCTATTTTCAAGTATTTTCCTTTTTGTCCACCTAGGTAATTTGTTGGATCTTTGCATTATAAACTTGAAAGAAAGCTTGCTAAAAGGTTTTGGGATTTGTTTGGCACAATATAGATAGTACCTTCCAAACAATTCCATTATTGAAGATCTGAATCAGTCATCGGCTACCCCCTTGAGAAATGATTTGGGTGCTGTTTTTAAATTGGAATTTATATTATAAGGAAATTGGCCATTTGGGAAATCTTGCATTCTAAGGATTCATAACGGATATAGCTTGCTAAAGTAATTGCAATTGCTTTACCCAAGAAATCTGGCTAAAAGTTGTTTTAAAATCCCTTTTTTTTGGCATAATAGAGTGCCATCCAAACAATTCTAGTATTGAGGATCTGAGTCAGTCATGGGCTACCCTGTTGAAAAATTGTTTGGGTGCTGCTTTCTTATTATATAATTGGGATTTGATAAGGAAATTGATCATTTGGGACATCTGCAATTTAATAAGGAAATTGATCTTTTAAGGAAATCATAAGGAAATTTATCTAAGGAGTTGTTTTTACCTACTTTATTGTTCCTGTTGAAAGACATGGGTTCGAGAAAAATCGTTCCACAGTGGGGCACCATCCCCCCAATTCCAGGAAACTGGTTTGATCTGATTTGTTTTGAAAAAAAAACTAGGGTACCATCCCACTAATCGGTATACTACATGTGGATAGTGTGGTTTGAGGAACAGGAACAGTGTCAGCTGGGATTGTTTGGGTGGCCAAGTAACCCCGCATTGAGATTTTTGGATTTTGACTTTTGGATAGTTGCGCAACATGTTCTACAAAAATATAAAGACTATATCTTTTCACGGGGGACGCAAAGCGCCAAATACGCCGAATTGTTTTGGTTGCAACCCATTGGTATATGCATATCAAGACAAACGCCACCAGAATTTCTATTGTGGGCCACTTGTACATACTTCCTTGTAGTCATCCTCTATTTCCAGACAAATTGCTCTTTGGTAGACTGACATAGCCACATAGCTATGGAAAATCACCAGTTTTAATAGCTACATCAATTGTGGATTTTCCACAGCTATCTTAGTTATCTTAGTTTTTCAGACTCCCATTTTGAGGCTGCGCAGTGTGAATCTCTTAAGACTCGGGCAGCGTGGCAAGGCTTTCCATCTGGATTCAAGATGCCAAGAGCTGTCGCAATGTTCTGCAACTCTGGCGCAAGCATCATGCAAGTCTCTGGGCTGGATTCATGAAGCTGCGGAAAGTCTTGGAAATATACTGGTTGGTGGTTTGGAACAGTTTTTATTTTCCATTTCATATATGGGATGTCATCCTTCCCATTGACGAACTCATATTTTTCAGAGGGGTGGCTCAACCACCAACCAGTAGATCATCATGCCAGACCGACACTCTGGATGCTCTGCGGTGTGTTTTTGGTGAAGGTCAATGGCTGAACATTTTGAACCAGCCACGAACTTGTTATATAGCCTGCTTAATTGGTTGTTGAATGGATATTTAATCATGAATTATAGGGTTTTTATGGGAGGTTAACATGGTTTAAGAATCAGAATTATGGATACATATATATATATATGGTCACCTTCACAACGTGACGGTCCTTTCTTTCGTTCACCTGTGAACTTGTGAACGAACCCTTCCAAATCTGGCATTTGCAATTCTTTTGTTTTTGAACTGGATAGCCCTATACACAGCTCTGGCATGAACTCTGCAGCTTGGTACGTGAACTCTTCCAAGAGGCTTGCTCTCAGACACTTCACACACTGGCATTTGCTTTATGTTTATTTTTGAGTTGGAATTGGCTTGCATGAACTCTGCAGCTTGGTACGTGAACTCTTCCAAGAGGCTTGCTCTCAGACACTTCCCACACTGGCATTTGCTGTATTTTTTATTTTGATTTGGAATTGGATGGTCACATGCAGCTCTTGCATGAACTCTCGGTGCGTGAACTCTTGCAAGAGGCTTGCTCTCAGACACTTCCCACACTGGCATTTGCTTTATTTTTTATTTTGATTTGGAATTGGATGGTCACATGCAGCTCTTGCATGAACTCTCGGTACGTGAACTCTTGCAAGAGGCTTGCTCTCAGACACTTCACTCCCATGCATGTTGTTTGAACTACTCCATGGAAGTTGATCTCTGCATTGAAGCAGTTTCAGAAATCTATCTCCTTGCGTTGCCACTTTTTAGATCAAGGGTGGGTGTGGTGGGAGCCCACAGCTGCGGATTTGAGTTGGAAGGGAGGTGAGAGAGAAGAAATACACATATATATATATATTATACAGTAACTGATAAATGATGCCTGATTGGTTAAGAACTAGGGACTTATGCTGCCAAATTTAAGATTAGCCTGTCCTTCCGAAATGGGGGTAGCCACAAATGGACAAAAACTGTAATTAGTCTGAGTGGGGAAATGCCTTTTCTCAGCCATGGGATTTTAGGCCTATTTTGAGATCCGTTTCCTGCTATGGCCAGTCTCTTTGTGTTTAAGGTTGGCCATGGCCATGGATGCCCTATGACTTAAGAACACCCCTTTTCTGGAGGTTTTCTAAAATGGGGAGTACCCCCGTTTATCATCCATGTGATTTTCGGATTTTCCATAAAATAAACCATCCATTTGAGTGTAGTCCCATTTATGGAAACCTCCACACCATTTGAGTGTAGTCCCATGGAAACCTCCATATTAGTGGACATTTTGAGGGAACAAAATCACTGCGCTGGTTGCTTCGATCCCGAAGGCTTCGATGCGATCCATGCCGCCGGATGCTTCTGGCGCGTGAGTTTGTTGGTGCGCAACGCGCAGCACATCTCAGCCGTGGACTATGCAGGGCTGGCCGAGGCTGGACGTGGGGATGGTCGACGGCTTGGGCCTTGGGGAATGGGGGAAACACAAAGGAAAAACCAACAGAAAAAAGTGATTGAACATCCATTGAAGCCATGGTAAACCAACAAAAATGTCCGGGTGGTTTTTGGTCATGATTCAATTGTTTTTTCACCAAGAGAGCTTGGGATGTTAAGCAAGAAACATGGGGATTGAAGAAACAAGACTGGTGATGCTGAATGCTGAGGTAGTTTGAATCGCTGAAACTTCCCTTGGCCCGGGTCAGGTCCCATATGCTTGAAGGAGATACATTATATATACATATATATATACGTTTTTATTAAATATGTTCAATGTTTCTGTATTGCTTGAACCCCTCAATTCCCCCTGCACCATGGAATGCCCTGGATGCCTTCCTTTCATGCCCTGGTCACATCCGGTCACTAGGCCGTGAATGATCACGTGCAAAGGGATGAATTGAAAGCCCGGGGCCTCTGCAACATCTTGGTGGCTTTAGTTTATTCGCGCTACGCAGCTTTCTGCCACTTGCCGCGATGGCTCTGGGTCAGATGCCGATCTGTTTTTCGGGTCGATCTCTCGGGCAGGTCACTGTTTCCACGTTGAGTCATTGCAAAGAAAGATCAAGATTAAGATGAGCTTAGCACACCCTTGAAGGATAGGGACCCAAGTTATACGGGGCAACTTCCAGGGCTGCTTCAGCTCAATACCATATGGCCATATGCGTATGGACCTGGGTCAAAATTTAAGATTAAGAACGCCCGAGTTTCTGATCACTTTTCATAACTTTTCAGTAACCCACATTGTCCAAAGTTGAGTTTTGATACAGAAACCATGAAATTTAACGTTAAAGCTAGATTTACCCTCTGGTAAACTAACATAGCCATTGAAAATGGCCATTTATAATGAGTTTTCCCATTAAACATGGTGATTTTCCATAGTTGTGTTAGTTTACCAGAGGGCAATAGCCAAGACTACGGGACCCAATTCTTGACCCATGCGAATCTTCCATGTCTTGGCCGGCTGGTGACTAAGCTGTCATTTAAGGTCATACCGACTGTACACAGCCACAATCACGCACATAGATACATATGGTATGTTCACATATGCATGCAAATGTATACATATAAGATTATGTATATATATATATATATATTGTGGATTTGCAGCCACTTGTGCATGATCTGAATGTAAATTGGAGGTCGAATACGTGGTCGTATTGACATATTTCCCTGGGGCTTTACCACATTCAGCTTTCTGCCGTTGAAGGTGGCGGCTCAACTCCTGTTGAGGGCTTAGGGTAGGGCCCCTTAGCCTTGTACGACCGGGTTCGTACGTTCCGGCGCTGCCATAGCAAAAGGTGCTTCGCTCCGGTGGGCGTGCTTGGTGGAATTTGGAAAGGACCAGGGGTCCCTTGAAGAGTTTGAATAGGAGAAGGGGCCCGCTTCCAGTGTTTGGTTTGGCACCAACACTGGTAGCGGAGCTACCGTAGCCGGAAAGCCTGGAAACAACAGAATCTCCACTGTGATTTACTAGTGCTTTCTGCAAGCTACAGATCCAGGATGTCTGAAGGTACAGAAGCGGTGGGTGCCATCCAACCGTTGGGAGTCCAAGGGAATTCATCCTTGACACACCTCCCATGGGCAATGATACCATCGTTCAAACCTGGGGAGACGGACATCAACGAGTATACGAAGAAGCTTGAGTTCCTAGCAGGTCTTTGGCCACCAGAACACCTCAGTCACTTGGCTCCCCGAGCCGCGATGCTTTGTGAGGGTTCCGCTTTCAAGCGGATCATGCGTTTGGATCCAAGTAAACTGAAGGTGGGCACACTGGATGGGGTCAAATTGATCGTTTCCACACTTGGTGGAATCTGGGGCAAAAGCAAGCTTGAGGACAAGTTCGAAAGGTTTGAGAGGGCCATCTTTACGACGGCCCAGCGACAAGATGAATCTCATGAGAGCTACTTAGCTCGCCACGACTACCAGTTCGAGGAGCTTTTACAGATGGGTGTGGGCTTTGAGGAAGTCCGCGCATACATTCTTCTTCGAAATTCTGGCCTCAGCTCGGAAGACAAAAAGAAGTTGATTGTGGATGCGCAGGGAGCCCTTGAATACAAATCCATAGTATCATCACTGAAACTTTTGGGTTCAAAGTTTTTCCATGAGCTTCAAACTGGTTCCAGGACGTCAAGCCGTAGCAAAACATATGATGTGAATGCAGTGTTGGATGATGAAACTCCAGCGTTGGCAACCGATGAAGAATCAGTTTATATGGGCGATGCATGGGATGAACCAGAAGTTGCCTATGATGAGAACGACCCTGATGCAGTGGTATGCATGCAGTTTGAGGATAGTTTGGTAGAGGCCATGCAGTCAGACCCAGACCTCGCATCATGTTTCAACACATACATGGATGCTAGGAAACGTTTGTCTGACCGAAACAAAAATCGTGGCTTTTGGAACAGCTCCAAGGGCAATTCTCCGTGGCAGAAGGGGAAGTTCAAGGGCAAGGGGAAGGGATCGTTCAAAGGTCGAAAGCCTCTTGCTCAACGGATCTTAGAATCCGAATGCCGCAGATGCGGTGTTCGTGGTCACTGGAAAGCAGAATGCCCTCTGAACCGTCAGGGGTCAGCAGTGCAGTCAGGCAGCAACAGTGCCAAAGAAGGAGCATTCGCAGGTACGATCACCTCGATTAGCCCACAGAACAATGACGACGTAGACATGATTCCCATCCACAGCCACCAGGATGTTGCTCACCTGAAGCCTAGTCATGGAACATGTTACATGGTCATGAGTAATCATATGCCAGGGTCGTCATGTCATGCTAGTGCCTCCCTCAGTCATGGTCAGATGTCCAGGTTTTTGAGCTTGTTGAAGAAGCGCCTAAGCCCTCAACTCCCGAGATCTCCTGAGCCTGAGTCCGCAACCGCCTCGGCAGATGAAGCCGATGTAGCCATGTTTGTGAGTCATGGGCCGTATGGAATAGTTGACCTCGGTGCCAGTCAGTCCATAATTGGTAGACAACAAGTACATGCACTAGTGTCTTGTCTTCCCGAAGAGGTTAAGATGAAGGTCCGTGAAGTTTCGTGCAGCACCACGTTCCGATTTGGAAACAGCAGTACAGTGAACTGTCGACATGCCCTGCTCATTCCTTTGTCCAGGTGGTTGGTAAAAATTTGTGTGGTTGATTCTCAAACACCGTTTTTGATTTCCAATAATGTGTTCAGAACGCTGGGGGCTTCGATAGACACAGCACAGGACGTAGTTTCATTTGCCAAACTTGGATTCTCCATGAAGCTTACACTGTCGGAAAAGAAGCTGTATCTCCTCGATTTTTGTCAGCTTGTGAGCCGTGCCCAGACACCAGAGTCTGTTTCCAAGAATCCTACCGATGAAGAACCGCCAGTCATGCATGTGCAAAAGATAACCGGTAGTGATGCATGTACAGAAAATCTCTGCAGTGTGGCTAGCCTACCAAGCAATTCGATCGAGTTTCCATCCGCTCAGAACTCTGGTGATCAAGGGACCACAGACCATGTCGGCGCTGTCGTTGGTCGAGCGCTTCTCCAAGGTAGCCGAGAAGAAGAATCAGGACGAGTTCATGAAGATGTCATATGCCGATCTGTCGGAACAAAGGATCACCTTCGGCGAGACCAAAGTGAATCAGCGCTACATCGATGTGGTCCAGCAGGATCCCAAGTATGTGAAATGGTTCACGGGGAAGTACCAGGACAGTCAGAAACCGGGTCATCGCTCCTTCCTCTTCTTCATCAACATGTATGTGGAACGCATGGAGCTGACTCAGGGGACAGATCAGCCAGAGTCCCCTTCCAACAGCCCAGTGCAGAAGACCCTGAGGGCCAAGTCGAAGAGCGCCCCTCGGGCATCATCTCCTCCGATCGAGAGATCGACTTGGTCGGACGACGAGATCAGCCGTGCCTGGAGCGTGGAGGAAGAGGTGAATCAGCAAGGCCACCGTCTCAACAACATGGAGAGCACCTTGGCCCAGATCGCGCAACAGATGCAGGTCCTGACCCAGATGGTGACCCAGCACCATCAATCGAACGCCCAGCTGAACTGAGAGCCGGAGAAAATGAGATGGAGTTCCGATCACTGATTTGTGATGAGATTGGCTGTCAGGCAGTGGTCCAACAATTGTCTGATGTTAATGATGCTGCTTATTTTCATGACGTTTTGTTACAACAAAGTGAAAAACAGAATTGGGTTTATGAAGAAATGTGGACGTACTGGAAAAAGAAATTTTCATGGATGAGAGCTGAAGGAGTGAAACAACATTGGTCCGTTTCCAAATGTGACTTGTTGGAAGTTTATTGTTCTGAAGACAGCCAGCTCACCAAACAAGCAGTGTCCAATGGCCTCAAAGCTTTCCGATTTGGCCTCCGGCATGGAGATCTTTCGACCTTTTTGGGACGCACAAAACTGTATGATGTGTTATGGATTTGTCGACCGAAACACATTTGGACTTCTCCCCGCTGTGGACCGTGGAGTTTATGGAATCATCTCAATGCAGGGAAATCCGTAGCATTGGCCGAAAGAATCCAGCAAGATCGCCGATCTGAAAGTGTGCATTTGCTCTTATGTGATGGATTGTTCCGCCTGCAAGATTGGAGAGGAAGCACTTTCCATTTTCACCTCGAGCAGCCACAGGGTTCCGAGTTGGTCCATCAGGATGAAGTTGAAACTTTAGTGAAGAATACTTTCAAGGCTGTGTGTGACATGTGTGTCGCAGGACAACTACGACACCCAAACAGCCATGAATTCCTCAGGAAGAGAACGCAAATCCACACCACTTCCGAAATCATGTGGCATGTGATTCAGAAATTTCAGTGTGTGGGTCATCACCATCATGATCCCATAGCAGGGTCCTGCAAACCACAGGGATATCCACGGATGAACCTAACCAAGTATACTGAAATGTATACGGCTTTGTTTGGTCGCCGTCTCAGCCGTGCCATGCAATGCAGTAATCAAGTTCAGGAAAAGACCATTGGCCATCGTCACTTGTCGGTTTTTGCTGTCGACACTGTTCATGAGGACCCAGAACCCAAACGTCGAAGGCTGTCAGGTAAATTCCATCCGGAGCATTTGTTTGTTCCTGCTGAGCCGAGTTCATCCAGCCCAGCCGACCCTGGGACCAGCAGGATGCATGCTGACGAAGCTGTGAATCCTCACAGTGTTCCGACCGTATCCAGACTTCTTGAGATCGCTGAACACTGTGCTCCCAGAGTAGGAAAGGTGGTGTTCCAGGATGGTCCCTTGTTCAAAGCAGCTCAAACTAGATACCCTGACAAGGTCATCGTTGCAATTGATGTTTGCCGAGGAATTGACAGACTCAGAATCTGTCCGGTAGGGTCCAAAGGATTAGCTCCATATCGTAGGTCAGTAGGCAAACGTCGAAGCGATCTCCAGGCCTTTGAAGATGAGTCCTGGGAAGCCTGGGAGGAACTTTCGAAGCGTCAGCAAGTCCGAAAGGGGACACCATCTCGTTTGCCTGTCACGATTTTTGCATCCAACAAACGTGCCAGTCCTTCTGCCCAGCTTGAGGATTCCGAGTCTAAGAGGATTTGTCCATCAAGTCAGAACAGTGGGGTTAACGGTAAAGATGTTGTATCCGAAGATGTTCAACCCCAAGATGTGCCTGTACTTCAACCCGACAAGCCTGTGGACACCTCCTCTGAAAATCCTGCATCCGAACGGAAGTCCCAGACTGAAGCAGACTCTGTGAAATGCCGGCAACATGGGCCCAAGTTCCTTGCACTGGAACTCCATGACCAGAATGTCATCAAGAAGATTCATCAAAACTTGGGTCATCCGGACAACAGAGTGTTGCAGCTGGCACTAAAGCGCTATGGATGGTCCGATCGTGCGGCCGCAGCCTGTACAGATTTTGCCTGTCCTGCCTGCATGGAACAGCAATTGCCCAAGATTGCAAGACCTGGTAAGTTGTCCCAACCAAGAGACTTCAATGATCACATTTCATTTGACGGAGCCGAATGGCGTGACCCAAATGGTAAAGTATACAGTTTTTATCATTTCATTGACAGTGCCACCAACTACCATGTTGCTATTCCATATCAACAAAAGACAACACAAGGTCTCATCGATGCTTTCACTGATGCGTGGCTCCGTTGGGCAGGTCCCCCTAAAAGCCTGATGTTTGACAGTGCAACCGAAGCGAATAGTGAGGGATTTGGTAGGTTTTTGCAAGACCACGCCATCCAGAGCTATGTGATCCCTACTGAAGCCCATTGGCAGTTAGGCAGAGCCGAACGACATGGTGCCACACTCATGCGTATGATTGATAAGTATCATGCGGAACGTCCTATATGTAACCATGATGATTTCAATCAATGCCTAGTTCACCTTTGTCATGCCAAAAACGCCATGTCTCGACATGAGGGTTACACTCCAGAGTTATGGGTGCTGGGAAAAATGAAACCTGTTCCAGGTGGGAATACCAATCAGTATCTAGATAGTGCCAGTTTCAGTGGTTTAGATGATGCAACAACTGAGGGCAGTCGCTTCCAAGAACTCATGGCACGTCGTGAAGCAGCCCGAGTTGCGTTTGTCCGTGCGGACCACTGTGCCACCTTGAGAAGAGCACTCCACGCCAGATCCAGACCTGATCGGATCAGTTTTCAAGCAGGTGATTTTATCATGTACTGGAAAGATGGCAAAGGTGCCGAGAAGGGTGCCTGGCATGGGCCGGCCAAGGTCTTGATGTTGGAGGGTCCCAACCTGGTGTGGATCAGTCACATGACACGTCTCTTTCGGTGTGCTCCCGAGCATGTTCGTCTGCTGTCTGCCGACGAAGCCAGGGTGGTCCAAAGCCAAGACCCTCAAATGTTTCAAATGCCTAGTCGCAGTGGAACTGGAGTATTCCAATATCGAGAGTTGTCCCAACAGGCTGGGCCTCCACAGACGTTTCCTGGAAATCCTTCGGTGAATACCAGCAACATGAATAACACCTCAAATAATCCGGAACCTGAAACCCTTATAATCCCGAATAACCCCAATATTAATAATCCAAATATAATGAATCAAATCCCTGAACCTGATGCACTCGAATCCACAGGCCAACCTGACGATGAACCAACAGTGCCTTCCACTCCAGTTGCTGAAGATCCCGCCATTACCACACCTATTCCCGATGAAACTGATGATGATTTATTCACAGATACACATGACCATGATCACTGGATGATTGAAGGAAATATTCTCAGGAGGATCCATGTGACACCTCGGTTAAAGCCTTTCTTTCCTCACGATGCATGGAAATGTCCTGTCGAGGCTGATTGTCTGGACCCAGTCAGAGTGACCATCGGAACATATGTGTCAGGTGGACCATTACGTCGTGAAGAGCCCTGGACAGACAATGTCATGAGTCATACTCCTTTTCCTGAGCCATGAACAGGTCAGACCCAATTCCTAATCCGTGACACCTCACGAAAGGTTGAGAATCCCAAAGTTGCCATGACACTTGAAAATACCGAGGAACTTTCAAAGGAAAGTCATCAAGTTTTGGTCGCTGAAATCGAAATGAACAAAGATGATTTCAACAAATGCCTGGGAAGAACGTATGACTTCCAAGAGACATACCTCGCATCTGCAGCCAAAAGACAGAAAGTAGAAGTGAAACTCAAGGAACTCAGTCCAGAAGATCTGAAGCTTTTCAAACAGGCTAAAGAAAAGGAGATTGATTCATGGCTAGCCACTGATACTGTGCGGCGTATACTCAGGAACCAAGTTCCTGAGGGCCAATTGCTGCGATCACGATGGGTGTTAACATGGAAACCGTTAGATGCCGAAGACCAAAAATCACTTGGAATGACCCGCAAAGCCAAAGCTCGTCTTGTGATTCTAGGATATGAAGATCCATTGATTGACACCTTGCCGAGGGATTCCCCTACTCTTGGCCGTGATAGCCGAATGCTTGCACTTCAGTGCATAGCCAGCTACCGTTGGATGGCCCGGTCCTTTGACATACGGACGGCTTTTCTGAGGGGCAGCCGACAGGATTCACGAATCCTGGGCATCGAACCCCCTAGTGAGCTGAGGCTAAAAATGGGTCTACAGGAGAATGAAGTATGTGAACTGCTTAAAGGAGCATACGGCCTGATCAATGCACCTCTTTTGTGGTACTGCGAACTCAAAAACGCATTACTAGCCCTGGGATTCCTCATTTCACCCATGGACTCATGTTTGTTTGTCCTACCAAAAAAGAAATCTGACTTGAATAGTGACGAACCACAAATTCATGGAGTGTTGGGCATTCATGTAGATGACGGGATTGGGGGCGGAGACACAGTTTTTGCTCATGCCATCAGCAGTTTAGAGAAACGTTTTCCGTTTGGCAGTCAACGGCAAGGATCCTTCACTTTCACTGGTGTTCAACTATCTCAGGAGGTTGGTGGAGACATTGTTTTGAGTCAACAGAGTTACATCAATGATATACCTCCCATAAATGTCAGTAGGGATAGACGCCGCACTCCTGAAGCTTCCATCACCAACCAAGAACTACAAGACCTGAGAGGTTTGATTGGAAGCCTTCAATATGCAGCTTCAAACACACGTCCTGACCTGTCTTGCCGATTGAGCTTATTGCAAGCTCGTGTGACTTGTGCGACAGTTTCTGATCTTCTCCAAGGGAATCGGATTTTGGCTGATGCAAAGAAGTTTTCCGACACCGAAATTCGTATACAATCACTGCCTCCCAAGCAGGTTAGATTCATATCATTCTCAGATGCAGCATTCGCAACACGTGAGAAAGCGCATTCTCAGAAGGGTTGTCTAATTCTAACCACTACGGGTGACATTGACCAACTGAAAGCAGCTCCAGTGAGTCCTCTCATTTGGTTTTCCAAGAAGATCAATCGAGTTGTCGCCAGCACACTGGCGTCCGAGACATATGCTTTGTCTGGTGCGCTTGATTTATTAAGCTGGACCAGATTGCATTGGGCCTGGATTTTAAATCCCTTTCTGAACTGGAAGGTGCCTGAGATCGCTCTGAAAGGTCTACCTCCAGCCTTTGCAGTAGTTGATTGCAAAAGTTTGTTTGACTTGCTCCAGAAAACCTCAATTCCACAATGTACTGAACACCGTACGGCCCTTGAGGCGTTGGTAATCCGAGATCGGTTGAAAGAGGGAGTTTTAATTAAATGGGTTCACAGTGCCGCCCAGATGGCCGACAGCTTGACCAAAGACATGGACACCACAGTTTTGCGCTCCTTTCTGGCCAGAGGTAAGTGCATACTACATGACATCGATGAAATCTTGAAGCAAAGAGCTGACAAGAAAGTTAGATCTCAATGGTATCAACAGTCCAGTGAATATGAGTCAGGCTTGCATGCTTTTGCGATGTTCCTGGGTATTTTGTAAGACTCCAGATCCGAAGTGGTTGGAATTTTTGACTGATGCCCGCCTGCTGCACCACCTGACGGGTCAAGCCTCAATGATCCAAGTTTGGTCGCTTGTGCAATTTTTGTTGGAACTTTTCGACAGTCTCATTTTCGACAAGATTACAGTTATTGATTTTTCAGATTACAGAATTTTTAGGAGTGTGGATTTGCAGCCACTTGTGCATGATCTGAATGTAAATTGGAGGTCGAATACGTGGTCGTATTGACATATTTCCCTGGGGCTTTACCACATTCAGCTTTCTGCCGTTGAAGGTGGCGGCTCAACTCCTGTTGAGGGCTTAGGGTAGGGCCCCTTAGCCTTGTACGACCGGGTTCGTACGTTCCGGCGTTGCCATAGCAAAAGGTGCTTCGCTCCGGTGGGCGTGCTTGGTGGAATTTGGAAAGGACCAGGGGTCCCTTGAAGAGTTTGAATAGGAGAAGGGGCCCGCTTCCAGTGTTTGGTTTGGCACCAACAATATATATATATATATATATGTATGTATACACATGCACATATTAGGCATTATGTTTGATTATATATACAATTACGAGACAATTTCGTTTATGAAGATAAAACATGTATGTAAATGCCCTGCCGGCGCCGTGTCCCAGGTGAGACACCACTGATTTGTTTCCAGTTGGCGGCCAACTGCGCTCAGAAGTTCCCGAAGAGTGCGGGCCTGGCCAGTCCGACTCCTGGCCAAAAATGGGACTGGTGGTGGAAATTTGGAAGTGTGGATTCACCCAAAAGTATTGGGAGGTTCAATTCAAAAATGGTGATTTGACCTTGAAAAATAATGATATCGTGTTATTTTCTTTGTCACTATAGGCAAACGATGTTGATGTTCATATGGCTTGTGTATCGATCAATGGATCATGTAACATGAATTCACATGATTTCACAATCCCGGTCTAGATAGACCGTGATATATGTCCAAAATATACAGATAGGTAGATACCCTCCAGTAAACCAACATAGCCATGGAAAGTCACCATGTTTAAAAATGGTAAATCAACTATAAATTATAAATGGAGCGTTTTCCATAGCAAAGTATTCGTTTACCCAAGGCTAGCGAGAACTTGGAGCTAGCTGCTGATGTAACGCATAATGATGGATAATCTTAGTATAGCAATGTCATAGACCACCCGTATTATTGATGATGGTTTATACATGTTTGCACCACCCATCAAAATGATAAAATTGGGCATGGTGGATCCTGCCCCACATGGGCATAGAGATGATCGTCAGTGACGCCTGAGACGTTAGTGTCATATCATTATTTCGAGATTCCCGGCCTTCTTGGTCTTAGACCTTACATAATCGAGGTATCTGCAACTAAGATACTGGGAATTCGCCAAATTCACCATCTACAGATACAAAAAAACGGCACATGGACTGATTTTGGCCAAAAACATGTTCACCACGGAGATAGAATTGGTGAATATCCGCTCACTGCCATGTTCAATCGCCGCTCGATGAATAGCATCAATTTTTGGGTACGTGCCCCTCGATTATAGTCTGTGGTCACCTCCATCCAAGACATCCTTTCGGAAAGACCATGATGTCATTGTACCCATTGAAATCACCATTGTGATTAAATTTCATGGTATTCCCGGTGCATCCCCATTACATTCCCATGATATTCCGATGATGTTCTCAGTAAAAAATCCTATTAAGTCCCATTAACCACAGGAAATTCCAACGAAAGACCGATTAATTATCATGATGCCAATGAATATTTTATCACCATTATTAAAGTATATCAAATTATTATGCTTACTATGATACTTCCATGATCTTCCCATCATTGGATTTGTTTACGGGACATTTTACAGGAAACCACGGTTTTTACCATTAAGATCATGGGGGGGTCCTCTAATTTTCCCCATCAAAACCACTCCAATGCTCCGAAAGTCATAGCTGCGAATCGTAGGAATATGATATCACCATATATCACCATTATTATTCCATACAGATTCTGGTTGGTGGTTTGGAACATGAATTTTATTTTCCATTCAGTTGGCAATTTCATCATCCCAACTGACGAAGTCCATCATTTTTAGAGGGGTTGGCCAACCACCAACCAGTAGAGTAATATCACCATTTTGAATGTGTAAATTAGGTTAAAAAAAATGGCAATGTTCAATAGTTATGTTAGTTTACATGATTGTTTGTATGGTATTTTTCAATCATCAGCTATAGTTATGGTATAATATTTTTGGGCATAGGCTATTCCAACCATGGTTTTTCCATATTTTTCCTAGGCTATTCCAACCATGATTCAGTCTGTATACTCCCATGATCCCATGAGGAAAGACATCTCCAGTGCTGCCTGGGCATCTTCGCAGCTGCTGTCCATGTGGGGCGACGAAGAATCTCTGTCGAGGTGGTTGATTGTTTGGAGAGTTACAGCGATGGGAAGATGGGGAGAATGATATCAGTAATATCTAAATATCTATTATATGAATTCATATTATATAATCGAAGGAAGTTTAGGAAGAGATGGGAAGAGGCAGAGAGAAGAGAAGAGTAGAAGAGTGCAGATCAGAGAAGAGAAAGTCTCGGAAGAAAGAAGATCCAGGCGCGCGAAAAGGTAGGAAAGTCGCAAAAACACTGCGTTTTTCCAATGATTTGTGGCTCCGGAGGGTCGAAAAGTAGGCTCGCTAAAGCGGGGGGTGCGGAGCCAGCTGGCCAGATGAGAGATAAAAAAGTGCACGCCGTTGTGGCGCGAAGCACATTTCCAAGTCAAAATGTACAAAGCACACCAGGGTCGGACCACTTTTGGAAGTTGAGATGTCGCAAAAGTGCACGCCGTTGTGGCGCGAAGCACATGTCGAAGTGAAAATGTACAAAACACACCATTCTCAGACCACTTTTGGAAGTTGAGATGTCGAAAAAGTGCACGCCGTTGTGGCGCGAAGCACATGTCGAAGTCAAAATGTACAAAACACACCATTCTCAGACCACTTTTGGAAGTTGAGATGTCGAAAAAGTGCACGCCGTTGTGGCGCGACGCACATTTCGAAGTCAAAAGTGGAAAAAACTGACGGGTACGGAGCATTTTTGGACGTTCAGATGTGCTTTCGCGTTGCAGGCGCAAGGGATTGTGCACCTTGTCAAAAGTGAGCAAAATGTGATGGTTTTGTAGCATTTCCAAAAGCGATGGCAGGCGGCAGGCGTGGGACATTTGAAGAGGATCTGCAAAGATGCATTTTCCGTGGCAGGCGCAGTACAAGAGACATCTTCATCGGAGCTGTTAGGAGGTGAGGGCGCTGATTTCCTGAGAGGGGTTGCATTCTGGAGCATCAGATCTTCAGGTTTGCTGAGATGATTTTGCGTGACAGGTGCAGCACTTCGTATGACCTGGCATCACTTTTTCGTGGCAGGCGCAGTACTTTCGACAGGTGGACTGGAAAAATGGCAAAACGCATTGGTACGAAGCTGTTCGCTCTGCACTCAACTTTCCATTTTTGAAGGAAGTCTCGCAGAATTGCTTTGTTTTTGATGTTGTCAAGTTGAAAAATTGAAGAAGTCTCGCAGAATTGCTTCGTTTGTGATGTTGTCAACTTGGAGAAATGAGGAGGTCTCGCAGAATTGCTTCGTTTTTGATGTGGTCAACTTCAAAAAATCAGGAGGTCTCGCAGAATTGCTTCGTTTTTGATGTTGTCAACTTCAAAAAATGAGGAAGTCTCACAGAAGTGCTGCGTTTCTGATGCTGTCAACTTGGAAAAAATGAAGAAGTCTCGCAGAATAGCAAGGTTTTCAAGCTTGCAGATAGACAGGTAGATAGATAGACAGACACAGACTAGACCGAGAGATACATACATAGATAGATAGATAGATAGATAGATAGGTAGGTAGGTAGGTAGGTAGGTAGGTAGATAGTCAGAGAAAGAGAAAGAAAGAGAAAGAAAGAGAGAGAAAGAGAGAGAAAGAGAGGAGACCTCAACCACCTTTCGGTCCATCAGTGGCTTCGCCCTGCCATCCCTGATTCACAACAACCAACCTCTCCTATATGTTTCCTATTTTTTGAAACTTCCGCCACCGCCTTGTGCGGTACTATTGGTATCTATATGAGAATTTAGAATATGATATATATATATATATATATCGTGTATCTATCTGTGGTGGTATCTTAATTTCTTACTAGATCATAGATTTAGATAGTGTGATTCGTTAATGATATTGTTACTTACATCGAATATGATTGACAATGATAACTGATCTCCCCATAGATGTATTACAGTAATATCGTTACCATGATATTGTTAAGAATCTCATAATGATAGTAACCCCGTCAATAATAATGATGATAATAAATGATAATAACAACAGAACATTCAGCAGAACAATAAAAGCAAGTATAACAATGGTAAAAGTAGTAACAATGGTAATAGCAGTAATAACAATAATAACATGCGTAAAGATAATATATTGTGGATTCATAATGACAATGATTTATATTTATAATGATTTAATGATAGAAAGATGGTATGGCGTAATGGTGACAAAACTAGTGAATATTCATGACAATGATGTTTCATCAATCATGTTACCTTTTGATAGGGAGATCTCCGTGTGATATGATATTGTTCAATCTGATCTAATAGTGATAGTCGTACTATTGCAATCTACTTCATATGGAAAATCACTGATCCGATACAATTTGCTGTGATAATCGAAGGAAGTTTAGAAGTCAAACTTCCGACAATATGGAGAGATGAAAAGCAGAGCAGGGCAGAGGCAGAGAGAAGAAGAAGATTAGAAGAGAGAAGATCAGAAGAGAAAGAGTAAGAAGACAGAAGATACAGATGCGCGAAAAGGTAGGAAAGTCGCGAAACACTGCGTTTTCCCAATGATTTGTGGCTCCGGAGGGTCGAAAAGTAGGCTCGCTAAAGCGGCGGGTGCGGAGCCAGCTGGCCACAGGAGCGATGAAAAATTGCACGCCGTTGTGGCGCGAAGCACATTTCCAAGTCAAAATGTACAAAACACACCATTCTCGGACCACTTTTGGAAGTTGCGATGTCGAAAAAGTGCACGCCGTTGTGGCGCGAAGCACATTTCCAAGTCAAAAAGTACAAAACACCTCAGCGTCGGAACACTTTTGGAAGTTGCGATGTCGAAAAAGTGCACGCCGTTGTGGCGCGAAGCACATTTCCAAGTCAAAATGTACAAAACACCTCAGCGTCGGACCACTTTTGGAAGTTGCGATGTCGAAAAAGTGCACGCCGTTGTGGCGCGAAGCACATTTCGAAGTCAAAATGTACGAAACACTAGGGGTTCGGACCACTTTTGGAAGTTGAGATGTTGAAGAAGTGCACGTCGTTGTGGCGCGAAGCACATTTCCAAGTCAAAATGTACAAAACACCACATGTTCGCGCCACTTTTGGAAGTTCAGATGTCGAAAAAGTGCACGCCGTTGTGGCGCGAAGCACATTTCGAAGTCAAAATGTCCAAAACACTAGGGGTTCGGACCATTTTTGGAGGTTCAGATGTTGAAAAAGTGTACGCCGTTGTGGCGCGAAGCACACTTGGAAGTCACACTACATTACAGTACATGACACTCCAGTACACTCCACTACACTAAATTACACTACACCACACTACATTACACTGAATGACACTGCAACACAGATAGACAGGTAGACAGCTAGACAGATAGACAGATGAAAGGGAGAGAGAGAGATAGACAGGTAGGTAGATAGATAGCTAGATAGATAGGCAATTAAATGAAAGAGAGAGAGAGAGGCCAGCTGGGTAGATGAGATAGATAGATAGATGGCTAGACAGATAGACAGACAGAAAGACAGACAGATCGATAGACAGACAGACAGACAGACAGATAGATAGATAGAGAGATAGATAGAAAGAAAGATAGAAAGATAGATAGATAGATAGATACATCGATAGATGCATAGATCGATACATGGAGAGATAGATAGATACATAGAGAGATAGGTAGATAGACGGAGAGATAGATAGATCGATAGATAGATAGATAGATCGATAGATAGATAGACAGATAGATAGACACATAGATAGGTCGATAGATAGATAGACACATAGATAGATACATAGATAGATGGACAGACAGACAGATAGATAAATAGATAGATCGATAGACGGACAGATAGATAAATAGTTAGAGGGACAGCTAGAGAAATAGATGGCGAGAGAGACAGATAGATACATGGACACATACACAGATAGTTAGACACCAAGACAAATAGAGGGATGTGCTAGATTTCGTCATGTGTTTGTAGTCTGTTGTGTTAACGCGGTAGGAACTGTTGAAGTTTCAATTTAGGAATATGAGGATCGTATCAGTACACGGTAAATGGATGGATTCGGATGGATCGATAGATCGATAGATTGATAGATAGATAGACAGGTACACAGGTAGACACCACTGCACTCCACTACACCATCTTCCACTACACTTCACTACATTACACTACACTACCCTCCACTAAAATACACTACACCTGCAACTACACAACTACACTCCACTACACTACACTGCACTCAATTACACTCAATTACACTACATTTCATTGCATTACACTCCACTACACTACACTACATTACACTGCATTACACTGCTCCCACTACACTTCACTCCATTACACTACACTACACTCCACAACAGTACAACTACAACTACACAACTACATTTCACTACACTCCCCTACACTCCACTACGCACCACTACACGACATTGCACTACACTACATCCCACTACACTACACTACAACTACACAACTACACTCCACTACACTCCACTACACTCCACTGCACTAAATTACACTGCACTACAGTACATGACACTACACTACACTCCACTACGCTGCATTACACTACACTACACTACCTTCCACTACACTTCACTACATTACACTACACTACAACTACAACTACAACTACACTCCGTTACCCTCCCCGACACTAATTTACACTACACTAAATTACACTACACTACACCACATTACACTGCACTACACTACCTTCCAGTACATTCCACTACACTACACTACAGTACACTACATTAGACTGAATGACACTGCACCCTAGATAGACAGGTAAACGGATAGACAGACAGACAAACAGATAGATAGATAGATAAATAGACAGATAGACAGGTAGACAGCTAGACAGATAGACAGATGAAAGAGAGAGAGCGAGAGAGAGAGAGAGAGAGAGATAGATCGATAGATAGATAGATAGATACATAGATAGATAGATAGATTGGTAGGTAGGTAGGTAGGTGCACCATAGATAGATAAGTAGACAGACAGACAGACAGACAGACAGATAAATAGATAGATAGATAGATAGATAGACAGGTAGACAGCTAGACAGATAGACCGATGAAAGAGAGAGAGAGAG